CTGCTGCTGCTGCTGCTGCTGCTGCCGACCGGTGCACCTCCCGCAGCAGCACCCAGCATTCCCATGCATCCTCTCTTGTCAGACCCACCGTACCTTCTGCTGCTGCTGCTGCTGCTGCTGCTGCTGTTGCTGCTGCTGCTTCTCCTCCTTCTACTGACAGTTTCTGCGCTGCTCTCCCAGCAGCAGCGCCGTCAGCAGCAGCAGCAGCAGCAGCAGCAGCAGCAGGGGGTGCGCTGAGGGGCGGGGGGCCGTCTGACGCACTTCCTGTGGCTGTTTGCAGCAGCGCCGCAATTTGCTGCTGCGCTGCAACAATATACAGCAGCAGGCCGCCAATGTTTTGTGTCTGCTGCAGCAGCGCCACAGCTTCCTCTCTTGCTGCTTCATCGAGTTGCTGCTGATGACCCGCAGCAGCAGCAACAGCAGCAGAGACAAAGCCTTGTGCAGCACACTTGCTGCAGTTCGCGCCTGAGTTTGCTGCAGAGAGAAACAGCCAAAGGACCTCAACGCCTAACCCAGAAGCAGCAGGAGCAGCAGCAGCTGCTGCTGCATCAGCTTCAACAGCAGCAGCAGCAGCAGCAACAGCAGCAGGGGCAGCGGCTTTGGGCGTTATTGTTGTGATTAAGCCGTCCCCTTGCTGCTGCAGGTCCTGCTGCGGGAGCTGCTGCTGCTGCTGCTGCGCCAGTTGCTGCAGCAGTAGCTGCTGCCGCTGCATGTGCTGCAGCAAAGCCCCCAAGAGCAGCCGGTAGGCAATGAGAGACTCTTCGGATGGCTGCGTTTGCTGTAGGAGTTGCTGCTGCTCCTGTTGCTGTTGCTGCTCCTGTTGCTGTTGCTGCTCCTGTTGCTGTTGCTGCTCCTGTTGTTGCTGCTGCTGCTGTTGCTGGTGCTGTTGCTGCTGCTGCTGCTGCTGCTGCACTGACAAGGGCTGCAGCGCCGCACTTTGTTTTTTCTCCAGAAATGCGAGGCGAAGACAAAGCTAAGAAAGAAAAAATAAAAACAAATATATAAACGAAAATATACAAATAGAAATAAAACAAAAGTACAAACAAAAAAACAAAAACAGATATACAAGATTACATAAACATAAACAAACAAGCACATCATCCACTGACACAGGGTTTAGGGTTTAGGGTTTAGGGTTTAGGGTTTGGGGTTAGGCGCACGTCAGTAAGAAGAGAGAACAGCCGCTCAACAGAGCCGCTGCAAGAAGACGGGCCGGGGGCCTGCAAGCAGGAGGTGCAGAAGCAGCAGCAGCAGCAGATGCAGCAGCAGCAGCAGCAGATGCAGTAGGAACAGCAACAGATACAGCGGTAGCAGCAGCAGATACAGCGGTAGCAGCAGCAGATGCAGCAACAGCACAGATACCGCAGCAGCAGCAGTAGCAAGTGCAGCAGCAGCAGCAGCAGCAGCAAATACAACAGAAGCAGCAGCAGCAGATACAGCAGCAGCTGCAGCAGAAGCAAGTCGAGGAAATAAGAAGAAGAAAGAAACAAAGAAAAAGAGAAGAAAGCTCAGGGGTTTACATCTGCTGCTGTGTTGCTGCTGCTGCTGCTGCTCTCTGTCTGTGTTTTT